TGGGCAGCAGGGCAGGTGCAGGGATGTAAATGTGCTGGGTATCCCCTTACTCGGGGCCAGTGTCACTCTTGACTATTTGAATGTTGGTTTTGGGGGGTGTGTTAGGTGACTCAAACAGAGGAGATGTTTTTCTGCGGTGGAGAGTGCTGTGGTTTTGAGACTGATCCCTGTTTGATCAGTGTCAGGCTTGAGGATCTGGGTTCTTCTATTCCTTTGTCACCTACTCTGTCCCATTTAATTTCAGATTGCATTAATTTTTAAGTATTATTTCTTTTGTTATTTTTTGCATTTATGATGGGCAGACTATTGCCTTGAGAGAATTTTTAATTTTCTGATAGTGCCTGTTCTACACTTAAGGCTTTGATGTGAGTTTCCTCCTCTTTTGCTAAATGAATAGAAAACACTCAGTGGGGTTGTTGGTTTTTTTTTTTTTCCTAGTTTGTTTACTTGCTTTCTTCTTTCTTCTTCTCTCCACATCCTTGTGAATAGAATATTAGTTATTTCTATCACAACTGGTGTGTAGTTGAACTGTCTGTGCTGGGACTGTGCCAGACCACACCATGGCTGAATTTTGGGCTCAGGTCTGCATGGGGAATCTGGTCCCTTGAAAACAAAATATCAGAGTCTCAAATACCAGGTTTTCAATGCATGGAATGTGTGGATTAGGTCTTTAAAACACAGGCTCTGCTTTTAGTTCAAAGCCTCTCCAGTGTCATTGGAGAAGGGGAGAGATTCACCAAGACTTTGTACCTACCACCCCCTGTGGAGACTCTGTGGTCTTGAGAAAAGGAAATACTGTAGTGATTAAGATGTTACTCTGGTTTAAAGGGTTGTTGCTCTCATTTCATGTACAGGAGTAAATCTTTTTGAAGGTGGTAATATGAAAAAAGCATGCCTGTCACTGAGCAGGCAGTAAATTGTCCCTCTGAGCCAGAGCAGATGAAAGAAATGAACAGTTGGATCCTGTCCAGTTGATGTTGGAATTATTTAATAGTTACAGGACCTGCTGTGGATTGTTAAAGTTGGACACCTGCCAGACCCTCCACCCGGCCTCTTCTTCACTCTTGCTCTGCAACAGGACAAGAGGGAAAATAGAAGAAGGAAAAGCTCATGGGTTGAGGTAAGGACAGGGAGATCACCCACCAGTTACTGTCATGGAGAAAACAGACTCAAATTTCAAAAAAATAATTTAATTTATTGCTATTTGAATAAAGAGTAGGATGGTGAGGAACAAGCACAAAATTAGGGTACTATCCCTTCCACCCTTCTTCATCACAGTTCAAAATTCACTCTTTCATTCCAACTTCTCCACCTCCTCCCCAACGAGGTGCAGTTGAATAGGGGTTGCAGTCAGTCCATAAAAAGTTTTCTCTTCCACTCCTTCCTCTTCACACTCTTTTCCCTGCTAGACTGTGGACCCCAGCTGTGGGCTGCAGTCCTTCAGGATCAGATGTTTCCAATATGGGTGCTCCTCAGACTTCAGTTCTTCAAGGTACAGCCACCCTACCCAGTGTTACAAGTGGTAATATTACAAAAAACAGAGACACAGCAGAAAGAAATGTAAACCCAAACACAAATAAAGCTGATGCTGAGTACAGTCATTTTTCAATCAGCAAATGCCAAAGTGTTTGAGGAAGGTTTGCAGCACTCTTATTGCCCCTTTGCATCCAGCACATCTACCAAGTCTAAATGAATGTGTTATTGACAAGAATTGAACTCTGAGAATTACTAAAATGCAATACTAGCAATAATCTAAGTCATACTAATTTGACTAATTCAGTTCAAAGAATTTGAATGATTTATTCATAACTTTGGTGGTAAAGAGAGAACATTTGTATCATCTACACTGCCCAGAGAGTTGCATTAAAGATAAACTGACTTTTGTCTTATAGTGAAATATCAAGATTTTGTGTGGGCTCCAGAGTATGTTACAGTTTCTACCTTATGCAAAGCTTGCACTTCACACGGCATAGAATCTTTATCAGCATCTTTTCCATCTTGGGATTGCTGAAAATCAGAATAAGGGAATGAACACCTGGAAAAGCACACATAAATATTAAACTAAGAAACATTACATAATTTTCTGCATTTTTTGACTTATTTCGTGACAGGATCAAAAATGTAAAGTTAATACTATACATTATAAAAAAGGAGAGAATAGATTTCATTGCTTTGATGTGGGCATCCATGCTGAGGCTGTTCATGGAGTTTTTCTGCATCTTGCATGTGTGTCTCCAAAGAAAAAAGAGAAGGAGAAGGGTAGAACAGATGACTGCTGTGAAAGAAGTGGCAAATCCAAAGCCATAGATTAAGTATGTCTGGAAAAAATTTTCATCCATTTTGCCACTTAGTTTTGAAGAATTTCCTTGCCCGGTGGAATTGTGGCTGTTACTGAGCTTTGTAACAGCCAAGTCATAGGCAATGATGCTGATAGCCAAGGCTGAGAGCAATGATGCCAACAAAAGCCAGGGTACAATCCTGTCTGTTTTTACTTTCAGGTAGATGAAGAACCGGTTCCTGAAATTAGCAATTTTTATACAATAAAAAACAAAAAGGCAGGCTGAAACCCACAAGTTGGAACAAGTAAAAAAGCTTCGAAAAAATATAATTACTTGAAATGTGGGTTGAACATAAAGGTAATTGGGATAAGCTAATGAAAGGGAGCAATGTACCCATGAGAAGCACAAATAGCAAAACCTGGAGCATCCAAGTAACAGCAAGATCTTCTCATTAGAGTTCAGAGTTTTCTTTTTGACCCAGGCAATGCAAAGCACACAAACAAGAAAGGCATTTATCCATACGCCAGCAAACACCTCCAGGGAGATGATAGCCAAAGCCATGGCCCCATGTGAAGTGCCATTGGATT